CAATAATATTATGTGTTTATTCTCTGTTTATTCCTTATTATTATTCTTATATTGATCTCCTTTTCTATCTTGTTATCCTTTTTTCGTCTATACACATACAAAACAAGCGGAACACAACAAAACAAACCAACATAAACAAGAGAAGAAAAAAAGAGCCTGGCTATTATTTCCCTACGGCCCTGCAAAACAAGAGGCGCATGCGCACTTATGAGCGTCCAGTTTCGGGCGAGCGTCCAAATACGCCGGTGTACCGGCGTATTTGGACGCTCGTAGTAGACTACTGCGCATATTGCGCATGCGCTGTGTGCGCCCTTGCAAAACAAGAGGCGCCTGCGCGCATGCGCACTTTGGAGCGTCCAGTTTTGGGCGAGCGTCCAAATACGCCGGTACATGCTCACAGTACACAAAAGTCATCAACGATAGTGTCTTACTACATGTATTACATACTTTGAGGGTGACACATAATTGTATCACGACACATTTTATTCTTCCTAGGATGACGAGTTTTACATCTTCATGCCGAGAAAACATAGAGCACTCTACATGACAAGGGGCAGCAGTACATCGAGTGATCATTTAAGTGGTGATAGTCTAGCTAGTACCAAGCCAACAAGACGGAGACAGCCCATCAGGCGAGCAAAGCAGTGCAATGACATCTCCTCTTCAGAGTATGATGGGTCTTGCCAATCAGTCTCAAGGAGCCACCTACGCCGAAATGTGTCGCAGTCTGGCAAATGCAAAGTGGAACCTGCATCGATATTGGGCAGCATTTCACGCCAACGAATCTCGGCGACCAGCGACTCTGATAATGTAGTAGACGTTTCAACGAAAGAGAACAGTTCTTTCCAAATGCTGCATTACCCTAAGAGAAAAAATCTTAAGAGTTGCTCATCGGTCGGTACACCCTCCAATGCTTCTACTTTTGAAAGCTGCACCATAGGATTGAGAAAACCGGTCATATGCATCCCTAGAGTAAATCCCAATGAAAAGCTTAAAGGTGTACTATCGGGAAAACATCAGAATAATCGTCCTATTTATCAGAAGGAAATGTCAGTAGAACTGCATTCTTCTGACACCGACAACGAACTATGTTTAATGCCCAAATGGAATCATCGTCGGTATATGAAGACAGGGCGTAACAGTGAGAATAGGTGTCAGGATCTGGCACGTGAGCAGTCGAGTTCAGGCGAAAATAACCTTGCTTTAAAATCAGATCAACAAGTTACAGTTACATGTGATACCAGCACCTTCAGGTCCAAGACACTGTCAAGGGATGACACAGAAAACCGTTTTATGCAGAAATTTCATCGACTTGTCAGAAAACCCAGAACAACTACGTCTGATTCTGACAATTCAGGTTGCAGTAATGAAGACGACACTCAAGTCTCTCATGATTCTTCATCTGGTGTTTCCTCTCTTGATCAAGCTGGTGCTTATCGAAGTGATCCATGTGCAATATCTACTATGGCAGCACCATATCAACAAAGTAAAATGGAGGGAAATACTGTCGCTATCTCTCCAGTAAAATTGTTGAGATGTCCAAAGTGGGCAGAATATCATAATAGAAGGTCAGTTGAAGAGAAGGACAGAACTGCTGTGAGAAGACAGAGAGATGATGAGAAACCAAGCTCGTCAGGGAGTGAAAGAATAGAGCAAGGCAAAAAACACCGATCACTTGTAAAAATGCCACAGCGTGATCCTGAACACTCCTATAGCAGACAAATTGATCGAGGGGAGGATACTAGTTCTAGGAAAACACCAAAGAGGGAGCTACATTCGCCAAGTAGCAGAAAAATGGAGCATAGAGACATACATCTACTGAATACCAAACAAATTGAGTCACAATTTTTGAGAACCCGACGAACAGATCAAGGAGAAAAGCCCAACTGTCTTGTTAAGACACCACAAAGGGAGCCACAATTAATCAGCAGACGAATTGATCAAGAAAGGAAGGATACTAGTCTCGTAAACCGACAGAAACTGTGGCGAGATTTGCCAAGAAGGCGACAAAGAAACCATGGAGGAGAAGAAGTGAGTCTTGTGAACACTCGACCAAGTGGATCATATTTGTCATGTAGCAAACAAGCAAAGGGAGGAGAAAAGGACATTGGTATAGTAGGACGCCAAAGTCATACACCCAACTCTGCTACAGAGCATCAACACCGAATGGGTCATGGTATAGGAAATATGGCTCCCAGAGTCAGCTTTATGGACTCGTCGTGTGAAGGTCCGGGCAATTGCAGTAAAGCATTCTGTTTTGCATGCAGCACGAGTTTGATTGTTTTGTAATGGATGCCACGTGTTCGTTTACTGATCTAAGCTCTCACATTATTTTGAAGAGTGGTATGATCGTGTAGAATGCAAGTTGTTATTACCAGCAAATTTATTAGTGATATTTTGAAGTTAATTTAATACAAGCTACCATATTCGGGTGTTGCTATCCCCCGGGCGTGGAGGGACGGTCACGTGATACAGTTGACGTATACTTCAAAACTTAAGGGTGTTGCTATCCCCCGGGCGTGGAGGGACGGTCACGTGATACAGTTGACGTATACTTCAAAATGTTTACGCATGCGGTAAACCTAACTCCAACACCTCCAACCAGAAACCTATCACTAAATATATGAATCTCGGACCGCTATATAGTAGCACTCTGATGCGCAAAAATTAATCTATGGTGTGGAGACAGATATGATGATGCAAAAACTCTAAATACAAACCCTAACCCTAACCCTAATCCTAACCCTAATCCTAACCCTAATCCTAATCCTAACCCTAACCATAACCTAATACTAATACTAATACTAAAACGAATAATATTAATCCTAATACTAGTGCTGCCATCGTGCGGCGTCCCTCCACGCCCGGGGGATAGCAACACCCACCATATTCATGATGTGGTATCTTATTTGATATTTATAGTTTTAACGTTTGACGTTTTAATGTGTACATGTATATATATTGAAATAAAAGTGTAATTTGACTAAAATATTGTTTAATATCGACTGAACGTGCACATGATGCAACAACTGCTTTCAACTTTACACCAATACAAATTGGATGAATCCAGATGAGACGGGATACTAGAGAAGCGTTGCCGAAAGGAGGTGTTGATCCCAAGCGCTATAAGCGCAGATCTTGCGCGCAGTTCCGCGGCAAGGCGCACGCGACCGCGGGAACGTCGTGCGCGACTATGCACTGCTGGCAACTATGGATCCGTGCGCCGAATGCATAGGCCGGCGCACGGATCCATAGCTGCCAGCGAAGAGTCGACGATTTTAGGGGCAATAGAATTAAAGGGCTCAGGTCCATTGAGGTGTTCTTGGAAGCTAATTAGAATTGTAAGTTCATTGCAAATATTCCGAGAACTGTCCTATACAATATGTAAGCAAACGGCGCCGAATGTTTACTGTCATGGAATGTTATATTGTAGCGAAGTCATGAAAAAGGGCAACAGTGTTTGCAACTGTTGCTCGCCGGTCATAAGCCGACGCCGTTCTCTCTGTCTTTCTGGGTGTCTCCCTGTGTGTCTCTCTGTGTCTCTCTCTCTCTCTCTCTCTCTCTCTCTCTCTCTGTCTCTCTCTCTATCTGTTTGTGTCGCTCTCTATCTCGGCCTCTATCTCTTCCTCTGTCTGTCGCTGTCTCTGCGTCTTCGTTTATCTGTGTGCCTGTCTCGCTGTGTCTCTGTGTCGGCAGCTATGTGTCTCTGTCCCTCGCACGCTCTCTCTCTCTCTCTCTCTCTGTTTGTCTTCATTTCCTCTGTCTCTTTCTCGCCCCTTTCTCGCCGTCTCTTCCTTTTGCTCTCTCTGTCGCTGTCCTTCCCTCTCTCTCTGTCCCCCTCCCTCTGTCTCTCTCTGTCTGTGTGGCTGTATGTATCTCTCTCTGTCTGTCTCTCTTCCTCTCTATCTCCCTCTGTCCGTCTTGTTCTCTCGCCCCCCTCTCTCTGCCTCTGTCGCTGTGTCGCTTTGTCTCTCTGTCGCTCTTTCTCGCTTTGTCCATATGTGTGTCGCCCGTCTCTATCTCTGTGTGTGTCTCTCGGCCGCTCTCTCTCTCCCGCGCACGCGCTGTCTGTTTGTGTTGTAGTGTGAGTCGCCCCCCCCCCTGTGTGTGTCTCTCTCTCGCTGTCTCGTTTTGTCTCGCGTGTCTCTCGTAGTTTAATTTCTGGGGATGGCAACATGAATGTACATTCTGTGTATTCTGAATGGTGTTATGATGTATTTCTTCAGTGTGTTAGACAATCGGCGATGCTAGAAACGAAACGCGGCCGACTGTTTACTGTCATGGCATTTTATATTCTAGTTAACGTCTCCTCGGCGCCAAAGTGGCGGCCGCGCGCAATGAATGATGCCGCGCAAACGACTTTTGCCCGACCTTCAACAGCATATAAACAGCAAGACCTCAATAGTTATGACCTTGTTATGACGTTGTATGGGAGAGGACATTGTCGCGCGCCGCCGGCCACAACACAAGCCAAGCTAGCCAGCTCACGTGCGTGTGCTGAGAGGTAGCGTTTTTGCCCCCTCCATCCGTTAACATTTATTTACAAGTAAACTGCAATGAACGTCTCGTCGGTGCCAAAGTCGCGGGCGCGCGAAATGAATTAAACCGCATCACACATCCCGTATCCCGTACACATGTCCGTACAGAGCGTGTATGTACACATGCTCTAGTATCCCGTCGTATCGTTATGCTAGACGCTAGACATAAACAGGTAGGTATCACGTTTACGCTCACACACGAAGGCACGCACTCGCGACGGGCAGGGCATGTAGTTTTTCTGACGGTGAGCGTCAAGGTAACTGGGAGCAGGCGAGTTGCAGGTTTTTGTGCGAAGTCGGCAAACCCAGAAGAGCAATGACGGCTGTTTTTGCTTCACGCGCCACGCTGGCAGCATGTATGAATACATGCAAAAACATTCGCGCGCGCTGCGGGGAAACAAGAAAAACGCCAAGCCATCGACACTGTAGCAGGCATTAAGCAGGTCACAATAGTGTAGACGCTGCGTTTGCGCTACGATGTGGAATTCTGTAATAGACTACAGAGAGAGATAAGAGAAGACAAGAAGTAGCGTTCACTAGTGTTTTACTACATCTCTAGTACAATACATGAAGTCTCAGTGCGCTAACGAATAGAAAATGCATTACAGTGCATAGTAACCGTATCACGCAACTTACACCTTTCTCAGACTACGTCTCGAAACAAGAAGCCCCGAGCAGTCGACCGCTTCCTGTTTTATACGGTGCGCCCCGGTCTCGCGATCACCGCTCATGAGAGTTCCCGATGGGGCTCGACTATAATGAATAAAAACCGACTGGCAGTCTGGAACGAAAACCGTTGCTACCTTACATCTAGGTGCTTCTAAAAACCGAACCGATATATATCGCGCTACTTGCAAATAAATATGCCGTGCCGCGCACTATATTTATACTCCACAAAACAAGTAACGATAAAGTTCGATCACCACACGAGTCAGAATTCCAACACATTTGGCAGTGAACATTTTGATATCGGTGCAATTACTCTCACTCTTGCGTCTTTTTATGCTGTAACGTACAATAGCTACAATACAACATATGCGTGTACCGACACGCATCACCGAATACCGTATTATCGAATACGTATTACCGAACATATCGTAATCCATTATTACCGATACCGATGTGGACCTGACAACCTTTGTGACTTCCACACATCATACAGCCAACAAAAAAACGCAAAACTGATTTCATATTTTCGATTAAATGTTTTAGGCCTATATCAAACTCTAATTGAAGAATGTGTTTAGCAGTCTGACAATATAGTGTAAACGTACCGTTACGACAAAGTCAAAAAACGATGACAAATTTCTACATAACGTTTCACGCAAAGATTACACCAATAAATACTACAATCAACGAGGAATAATAACACGTCCCATACGCAGGCTGTGAAACAATCGTATATCGGCAAAAATGGTTGCGTACCTCGCAGGTGTGAGCTTCGAGACATTATAATATGCGCTTTCTGGTATGCAAATAGGAATAATGGATCAGGAAGGGTATGGTTGGGTGGGTGCATGGGTGTTGTTTTTGTGCTGTAGGGGTACATTCCCCTCTGTGCTATCCTCCGAGTCATACTTATACCGTGACCTAAACAGAACGATTACCCTTCAGCTGAATTCTCGTAGTTCTGCTAACGGCTTAAATTACCTGTTGCCCATACCTCACTACTTCTTAACGCGGGTCCCGGCCTATCGTTGCCATCGTGACTATGGTAAATCAGTCATGGCTAACGTAATAAAATAATAGTATGTAGAGGGTGGTGAGGTGGGTGGTATATATAGGTGGTGGGGAGAGGCGGTAGTGGTAGTTTATAGGTGGAGAAAAGTGCTTGAATATCTCGCTAAGTATTACGCTCGTACCTTTCAAAGCTAGTTTAATACGCAATCTATTTATGCCGACACAAGAATTTGTTTCACTCACCCGCCTCAAACTATCTCCTTGATCGTTTGTTGTCTTTTCAGCTGATATCTCGCTATATTGTCGCTGTCCGGCATCAGCTGCTTTCTGTCATTCCTTGCGTGTAGGTGAATCGCGCGTGTTTCTGCGTCATAGACTGCTTAGATCTAACGACATCACAGTTGTATGCCATACAACACAGTGGCATGATATATGGATGGATGCAACATGAAATGTGGCAACCTATATCGACATCGGAATATGCACAAATGCACTCTTCTCAGTGGTCTGTGATATATATATATATATATATATATATATATGCTGTAGCTATCACGTGGTAATGCCAAACATGAGAACATCACATTGGTGCGTTAAGATGGATACGGGAAGTCGAAGCGGCAGTGACGATTGCAGGGCTAGACTGCTACCGACCCTTCACTCACGCAACTATCGTTGGCTATACTGAAGTGAGTTACGCTAGCGTGTCGAACTGGTGCACCGCGCGGCAGTCTTACGTCATCTAGCGAGGGTTTTTTTTTTTAAGTACTTTTGAAAAAACGGTACGTACAATGGACTCGTTACGCCCTTTATGGGAACGTGATAACTTTCGAAAATAATCTCAGCGCATGGAAACCGGACAAAACCTAAAATCTCGTTTTCTTAAAGGAAAATAAACCGCGCGCCAAGCCGCAAAAAGTAGCAATTACGAGCATTTAGGATTTATTCTCGCCCCTACGTGCATAGTCGAAAAGGCTTCTGCAAGCGCCACACTCTTCAATTGACCGATATAGCCCCGTTATGACAGTAACCGTTGGAAATTGTTTCTACATAGAGGGCAGCGAATTTGATCAAAAGGCGCCGGACGCAGCGCTGTTCGCGCTTCGCCGGTTATATCCGCGCTGGCAGATCGTCCAAGTGCCCATTAATCTCGTTGTCACATGGATATGTAGATATTGCCAGTGACCGCCCCACAATTTTTCTCTAACCAACATAAAATTATTCATGACGTACTCTATTGAGAATATAAGCATTGATTTTAATAAAAAA